AATTTTTACATGAAATTTTTGTAAACATATTCAAGTAATAAGTTATTCAGAGACAACCGTTGTAAAAAGAGATCTTGAGTGAGCTTATGTATATACATGTGGTAATATATATTCTCACGTAGATATAGTGTAAACTAGTTTTTTATCAAGCGAATTTGGGTTAACAGTAAGAATTGTATCTCTTAATTAATTTTAAGGTTAGGGGTTTAATAATACCGCTAATTCTTTTTTTTTCTTTTTTTTTTTTTTTTTTTTTTTTTTTTTGAAAACCATAATACCGCTAATTAAGGGTATGTAACTTGGGGGAAAAGTCCCCTACTCCCCCTCCCCATCGCTCTCTAAGGGTTATTTCACTAACCCGGACTGAGTTGATCCAAAGAATTGTAATTCCGTAGTGATGCTTTCTTACCTACTAAAAAAACTATAAGAAATTACTTAGTCAAACATTACAAATTGACGTGTAACGGAACTTTTAACAAATTGTTCACTAAGATTAGTAAGATAGGGTAGTTAGGCCAAGTAAGGTTTGGCTAAAATTGTGGGTCATTAGGGTTGAAAGGAGGATATATGAATGGGTTGGGACAAATGCTAAATTATAATTAAAATGATATGGATAACGATTAAATTATATTGTCTAACTTATATACCTATGAATATGTGTTCAATTTCGCTTGTCAATGTTAAACAACCCATAAAATAATGTTGTGAATCATGTCTCATACCGAGTTCATATTTTATGGAGGTTCAATCCGTAGACTAACCCAGTTATGTATTGTCTCAACATTCTCAAAAGGGAAGTCCGAGTCCAGCATAACTAAGCTCACATGCGATCATGTCACAGCAACACACATACATCATACATCCACCTGCCACTGTATCATACTTGCACGCATAAGCCGCCAAATGTCATTCCTTATACGGAGTATTAATTAGCTTGTTTATATGTGCTAAGTTGTGTTGTGTCAAGCTTTTATACAAAAAATAAAAAAAAATATTGTGGCATAAGCCCAAACCATAATTTGGCATGCACCCAGTCAAAAAAAAAAAAAAAAAAAAAAAAAAAAAAAAAAAAATACTTGGCATACACTACATATCATATATTCAATTCGTACAGTATCATGTCTTTTCGTGTTAGATTCTGTCATGTTATAAAGCTTGTCAATGTCGATTTGTTAGCTATTTACCTATATTAGTTATTGAATTTTTTTTTTAAGTGATACGTATACAATTTTATTTGCAAATCAAAATTTTGTATATGAATACATGGTGATCTAATTTTATAATCTCATGCTCACAAGATATTACAATAGTATACAACCAAGCATCACTTGAGATTAAATCTAGTTTGACTATTAAGTGATTGTATGAGTAATAATTTATATTGGGTAAATATCAATTTTATTTCTATTTCATAAATTTTTTTGGCAGCTAGGGAGAATGTCTAATATTATTGTTCTATTGAAAATACAAGCTAAGAAGACAAATTGAAGTCGTCAAGCTGGGCTGCTGGGGCCACTACACACAACCGACCTCTAAAAAAAGACTTCATCAACATCATTAGGAAAATACTTAATTATTGGCTACTTAATTAGTTATCCTTCATCATAATTATTTATTTTAAAAAATCAAATATCTTATTTATTCATCAAATCAAAATCTCTTACCAGATGCATGCATGGAATTGAATTGAGATGATTTGGTTTAGATGAGGTGGGCGATGTAGAAAATAATTTGCATATGTGGAAATGTGGCAACATTACAAGCAAAACATATTTCCAAATTATATTTATATATTTATTCAAAATTTAATAATAAGATTATACTCCAATCGGTGTTATTAATATTTATAATTATCTCATTTAGGTCTTAGGTAAGGTCTTTATATCATTTTTAATAGCGTGTTTTGTGTGTCTAGCCTATAACATAAGCCGAATAACCCATGTAATATTGATCGAGTAACCCATGTTACATTGACCAAATAACTATTATAACACTAATGAAGTAACCCTTATAATAACTAGCCACACGATGTGGCCAACCACATATAAAAGTTTTTACATTTCTAAATACTGCATATTATTATCTTATCACCTAATAAATAGTCGGAAAAAGGAAACATTATATTATGATATGATACCATACGCCACAATTATTAAAGATTAGCATCTTGAATAAAGACTATTTGGATAATGGAATTTGATTGTTTCAAATTATTCAAAGCATAAGAGTTGACCTTAGGTAGACTTTTGACCACTCTATTGCAATCCCTTTCTATATATGCTAATACTATGAGAGGAACCGCACCTTCTACTTTAATTTTTTCACCTCATCCTATTTTTTCTACACCAAATTTTAACTGAAAACATCTCTTGAATATCCATTAGCATCTTTTTGTGAACAATTATTTTTAGCAACAAGCGTTGTCCTAAGTAACTCATTATTTGGTCTTCCAAAGAGTTTTTCAAATGGCACTTTCCCCTAAATTGTGAGAAATTACAGCAAATAAACATGTTATCTTCCATGAATTATGCAGGTGGAGTAGTCCAAAGTTCCAAACCCTTAAGTTCGTCCGAATTGAGTTTTTACTTCTTCTGCTCCTTAAAAATAACTCCATCTCTACTTATATTTTTTTATGTATAAAAAAAATTCCTAACAAAATAAAAGAATGATTTCGAAGAAGAATAAAATGTGAATAAACTTGGTAATCTATACTTAGTATTTAAAAACACAAACCACACACTACTCATATGCCCATGTCACCACAAATCATTCATATGCCACATACCACCTTCTTTATCAAAAAAAAGTTCATGTCTTTATGCATTCTGTAACTTGCAAATTTAAGGAAATTAAGTATTTCAACTACACCAAAATAAAGTCGTAGTCTTTTCATCTCCTAAACTTAAAATAAAGTAATAGTAAATAAAAAATAAAAAAAGTTGAGCTAATTAGTCCACATTATATAAACATATATATAAAGTACAATAAAACAATGTTGACTCATATAACACAAATAAGCAACACATTACAAGAAAAATATTCTAAGTAATAACCCGTGCATGGAACCGGTCAGAAGGCTAGTTCTATATTCTATAGGTTAACCTTTTTCCGAGCAAGCCACCCTTAATGTTTGTCCAAAAATAATTAAAATGCTTAATTCCTTGCTTTTTCCAAGCAATTGATATTTAGTGGAATCTTTCAATATTAAAAGTAAGAAAAGTTGTAACGTTTTGTCAATGATATAGCATCCCACACACGCAAGAAAAGCATTTCCCCTCAGCAAAACCAATTTAAAAATAAAATAAATTAACACCCCACCATTTCTTGAGGTATCCACTTCCCTCTCAACCACCCTTTTTAACTTAAAACTTGATCAACATATATAAAACAAATAAAAACATAAAGATTAGAAAAAAAGAGTCTCTTTCTTCCACGCCTCAAACTAACAAATTTCTCTCGTGTAAAAATCTAAGATGACCAAAACTTCATACATACCTTAACTGATCTTAGAAAGGAGCCACTCTAATGGCTAGCTGGGCCGGGGCGACGCCGAAGAACCAACAGATGTTTAATGTAAAAGGGTTTGATGAGAATGAGTTGATGATGGGTTTTATGTTGTCACAAAAACCAGGAAATGATCTTATTCAAAACTGTGATCTGCCACCCCCTACAAAAGTCTTTTCAGGGTTACCTGACAATGTAACAGTAATTAGTCCTATGAACAGAAAAAAAGTGCAGACTTTTGTGGGTGATCATGATCATGGGGATGAATTTGATGTTGGGGATAGAAAAATGGGGCTTCTGAAGGCACTGAGGCTGTCTCAGACACGAGCACGCGAAGCAGAAGCTAAGTATGCCGCGATTACTAAGGAAAGAGATGCGCTTGCCTGTGCTGTCGTGCAAGATTCGATGCAGATTTTTGCTTACAGACAGTTTGTGAAGTTGCTTGAATTTCAAGTAACTCAGCTTCAGCAACAGCAAAAACAACAGCAGCAGCAAGTCATCTGTGATCATGGGAAGCGAAAACAGGGCGATGAAGGTGGTGATGGAAGTGGAAGTAATGGGTTGACATTATTGATAACTATGGCTTTCTGTTTGGGTATTGCTGGGGTTGGAATTGCAGTTGGTTGCAAATATTTTTACTCTTAGGTTTACTTTTTGTTTTTGGAAACTAACTTGGGTTTATATTTCTGATTTCTGATGGGTTGTAAAGTTGTAATTGGTTTAAATTATAATAGTAACCTATGAAATTCCTCTTTTCTGCAAGTATGAACTCAAATTTGAGAGTAAATTCTATGGTACAGGCTTTTTCTTTTTAACTTTCTGCTTCAATGTGCCAAAATCTGATATTCTGCTAGTTCAGACTCCAGAATTTCTTGGCATTAGGTATTATAAGGCAACATTGTTTTTACCTATCTTTAATTAAATAGCCCATTCACAAAATCACAAGTCTTTTTCATCTAACAACTCAAGGTACAGAATTACAGAACCAAACATTTTCAAATTTTACTCAATTATATTCTTACACTCATATTCATAAATATATTCCACAACTATAATTGTATAACAAATCAAATCATATAGGTTGCATACTATTACCAATTCTCATCATCATCGAATTATTTAAGGATGGTGAGACTGTTTTTAGTAAACAGTAAATGCAATAAACATTATTTGAATTAATGTCAACAAAGAAAAGAGATTTATTATACTCTGTTACCTCATAAAGGTTCACCTACAAGCAGTTGTGCCATAGTTGATGAGAATTTCACCCAAATGATAATAATAGAATAGTCGAAGTACTAATTTACAGTTGCAATTCTGATAAAGATATCCTTTTTGCATTGTCTCCCAAAAGTTCTTACTGTCTGTTTCACACCAAAAACAATTGGAGGTGTAGCGAAAACACTCAATTCAGTGAGTTAAAATCTAGAAAATGGTACCTGAGAGACTTTTCAAAGGAGAATAAGAAAGGGGGGAAGCATAGAAAGCCACATACATGCGTCAAACCTGCCACGAGCACTATATGTACTCCGTATATATATAACATCATTACCAAACTCGATATATACAGAGGGATCACTAAAGTTAGTTTTAGACTGTAGTCGGAGCTATGGGATTGTGGAAATGTACAATGAGCTAAACTAAACAAGCCAGTTATATACATGACATCTAATGGTTAGGATTAAGATAAATACCACTTTCATGTAATCCCGTGATGTATTTCCCTCAAATGGCTATAACATTCATCACTATCAGCAAAGTACTCCAAGCAAACCCAACACAAATGCTTCCCACATTTACATTCAACGTGGTTGCATCCCTCGGACTTCTCAATGGTATGGCCACAAATCGGACACCTCTTAACGTACTCCTCCTTACCTCTCCACCACTCTCTTAGAGATGAATCTGGATCTTCCTTGAATTCCTTGTACTTTTCACATGATAAGTAAGGGTGGTACTCCAAATGGCATTGAGTACAAGTCTCTGCATAGCAAGCCCCACACACAAAAGGCTCCCCTGTCTTTCCTGGACCATCAGTCTGATAAACAGAAGGACAATCAGGTGAAGGGCAAAATTTGAATTTGCCGTAACTACATGCTACAAATGCTCGCAATGAAGCCATAAAAAGCTCATCCAGCTTTTCAGATGACAAAAGAGATTTCAAATCAACAAGCCAAAAAGGGACGCCACAACCTTCATGGGCACAACAGATAGGGAAGCTATCTATGTTTTTTATTGCTGACTCACATTGTTCCACTAAACATGATCTGCAGAGCACATGCATGCAGCTCTCAAGCTGATATGCATCCTCCAGTTCACACAAACAAATCGAGCATGCCTTTTCACTACAAGCATTAGGCTCTCTTGAACTACCACTAACTAGTGCTATCTCATTTACAATCTCCTCCAACTTTTGCTTTGCCTCTTTAGTACCACAAATGGAAATGACGTGACGGCGTGTATTAAGAGTGAACTCAGTTTCAGGTATCTTCTCCTTCAGCCCATGCAGGTCTGGGCCAAACCTCTTGACAACTTCCTTCATCAAGTCATGCGGCAGTTCAACTCCACGTAGATGGATCTCTAAGTGCTTATTCATTTGGAGATTAAGAAGGCGCTGAACAAACTGCTCCTCTGCAACAACAATCTTAGCAGAAGGCCCAATCATTCTCACATTAAGACTCTGCCTGTCAAAATATATGTAGATTCTCATTTCTTGTTGTAGGGACTTCATTAATGTGATACCATCTCTAGAAAAGAGCAGCTGTAGAACAGCTGGAGTGAGGCTGGCATGATGGATAATTTTCCCTTTCATAAGTTCTTCCAGTGGTCTTCTCAACTCAGCAACAACTTTAGTGGCTGTTGCTGAAATCTTCACTCGATAAGAGCCATTGGCATTCCTGTCTAAAGTGCATTCAGTTCCTGTAAATAAAGTTTCCTCATAACAGTTAGACATATAAATCATAGTGGTTCCACAACTATTTCAAAAAGAATATATCATCATAGTGGTTCCAACTTTGTAATCCATCTCATAAGGGGAAAAAAACACCCTAATTTGCTAATAAGCACATTGTCCAGCATGCCTTTAACTCTATATCCTCATTCCTTATTCATGCTAACATGGATTTAAGATAAGAGAAAAATGAATAAGGGTAAAAAAAATCTAAGAGCCAAAAATAAAAATATATAATAAAATAAAATAAAATACTCCGTAAAACACTAATAGAGGCTTTCATCAAGTCAAGTTGGAAAGATGAACTCATGAAAGTCAACACAAACAAAAAATTGGGTTCTTGATATGAGGCCCCTCATATAGCATGATAAACCTGAAGTTTGTAATTAAGGTAATTCCTTATTTGAAATTTTAAAAAATCAAGTGAATTTGAGGAAGTGATTGATGAAGTTTAGTTCAGCCAACATATAATCGAGTAAATAACACTGGGGTGCATAGCAATTTAATATTCATTATTCATTAGATATGATTCTAACAGCAATTAAGTTTATGGTTTTTGAAAAATGCTACTTTCATTTACTTAAGCAAGGAATTTCAGATATCTCAGCAGTATCACTATATAGAACTGATGATCAAGAATTCAATGCAAGCCATTTGAAACATTGAAACAGTGAAGAGTTCGATTTAGGCAACAGAAAGGGAATGAGTAGAAAAATATTTTGAGCAGACAAGTGAAGTTTCCATGAATTTACACATACCTATTTGACGGTTAAATCTTGCCACCAAGGAATCAAGTTCTCTCTTGATTATAGAGTAGACAGCAGAAGAACAACACACTGAAGTGTAAAATAAACGCTGGCATTGTATTTTCTGCCATGATTGAAAACCAAGTAAAGCCTTTCCTTCAATCTCTTCTAACGCTCTTGCCGCCTCCAAATGTAACCTTCCATCAAAAGTAATCAAAGCTCTCATAAAAACATTCTTGGGCTCTGGAGGAAAGACCTGAACTCTGCAGAAATTAATCTGTGGGGCCCCTTTTGGCATGAATACAGAAATCTCTCTAAAAAGAGCTTCTTCACATGCATGGCATGTTGGATCTTCCACAGCATCTCCCCTGACCAAAAAAAAATCCATAATTCTTCGATTTGTAGCACTCCTCAATACCTGTAATATTTCAGGTTCAGAAGCTTCCCGATCAATTCCACTAATCACAACAGAATCAATAGACTTTTCACTACGTTCACATTTTAGATATCTTTCTCCAATCCGCAGATTAGAGAACTGTGAAACCAGTAAATCAGCATCATGAGCCATGCATTTAACAATACCAAAGCCTCTGCTAATTCTACGAGGCCATGACAATTTTGCTTTGACAGCAGGAAATGAAAAAGGTCGGTCTATTCCAAATGTTGCCCTTGAAAGATTCACTCTAAGCAAAGAACCATCAAACGTAAAATTGTTCAACTCAGCAACTGCCCTTTTGGCAGCATCAGGCGTCAGAAACGTAATACTGCCCCACTTCTCTTTATCTTCCATCTCTGAACCATGAATTACAGATTTATGGACAGCACATACTCCTGAGGCATGACTTTCAAAAAGCAATAAGAGCTCTTTATCATCAATAGCATTGGCATTGGGATGGAATACATCAGCAGTCAAACATCTTTTGTCAAGCTCTAGATGCTTAATTTCAGCTCCAGACCCGAAAAGTGCAACAGGAGGGAATGCACCAGGACCACCATGATACAAACATTTTTCCACGCATTCATTCTGTAATGATCGTCTTTCACGATCCAAAGCAGCCTTAACATGATCTGAAACCTTTTCGATGTCATCTGAAGAAGTATACAACCGAATTTCATCCTTATCACAGTCAACTTCAACGATGATTCTTTCATCTCCGCAGATACTTCGCAGTCGTGACACAAGATAAGTCAGACCATTATTATACTTCCCGCAGAATTTCTTAAGAAGGGTTTTCCCATTGCCAGATAATGTCATTACTTGCAGCTTTTGACTTGCCAGTCCAGAAACATCAAACAGAGGAGGGAGGGTAAGAGCAGATAAGAGTTCCTGGTTAAATGCAGTCACACACGTCAAATATTGACAAGACATTGATAATAATTCACCAAAGACTACCCAATCAGGCCTATGATTGAACATCAACAGAGAACAGGCAGGATGAAGCTGCACATATTGCCCTGACAATGCCACTTTATAGCCGAGTTGATCACTACCAGAGTACATTGCCACATTTTCAGCAAGGGAAGCAAGAATGGCCATTGTAAGATTCCTGTCATGCTCCGTGACACGCTCAGGTGTCCAGCCCCAGTAACTTGGTACAATAATACGAAGTTCGCTTTTAAGACAGCTCTCCCATTCACAGATGGCATCATGGCATCTTTGCATTGCCTTGGCATTAATGCTGTTATCCCAACACCACTGATTCCTCCTCTTTCCCACTGGAACATCCTCCCATGCTTTGTAAACAGAAAGCAGCGTAAAGAGATCACCATGAGGGTGACAAAATGACACCTTAAGACGGTCAGACTTCAGCTTATCTGCAAGGTTACCAACTCGACAAAATATACTGCTGGCATTTGCCAAAACTGCAGCAAGAACAATACCTTCTTTTTTCAGGCCAACACTGCCACATCCGAGAATTAGCTTACCTAAACGAGGCTCGATGCCCAGTTTAACCAGTGACCGACCAAGGTCAGTCAATACAAAATTGCCACTATTTGAAGTGACAGCTCCCAACTGCACAAGATTTCGAATAGCAATATCAATTGCCTCAGTGGAGGGAGCATCAATGAAATCAAACTCACTAATGTTTTTTACTCCCAGTGCAATAATTTTCAAGGCAGCAACACCCAGATGTACTCTACGAATTTCAGGTTCTTGCTGAGCAGTCATCGAAGTAAAATCATCCAGAGAGTACAGCCGATAACAGCATCCTGGTTCTGTTCTCCCAACACGACCAGCTCGTTGGTTAGCAGAACTCTTGCTGATCCAGCATACTCTCAATACATTCATGCCAGAACCAGGTTCAAACCTGCTCTCCTTAGCCAGACCAGAATCAACAACAAACTTGACCCCTGGAATTGTCAAGGATGTTTCAGCAACATTTGTTGCAAATATAACTTTTCTTTTTCCAGGGTAGTCCTGGAACACCTGTGACTGCTCTTCATATGACAGCTTACCATGTAATGCCAGAGGCACCGCATCAGGTACAACCAACATTTCACAAGCCCATTCAACTTCCATGAGTGACGTCAAAAATGCAAGAATGGTGCCTTCTTTCTCAGTTCTATGGATTTCAGTCACCAATCTTACAACATCATACACATAAGGGGCAATGTTACCAGATGACCCAATAAGTGACTGAGAAATTCCTTCACAGAAAGATGGGACATATTTCACATCAACTGGGAAATTTCTGCCGACCACCGAAAACATTCCACATCCAAAGAAATATTCTGAAAGTTGCTTAGCATCAGCTGTTGCAGACATGATAATAAGTCTCAGGTCAGGCCTCAGAGGAAGCAACTTTTTAAGCATTGACAAGAGCAGATCAGTGTTTAGAGTTCTTTCATGAGCTTCATCAACAAGAATGCAGGAAACCCCATGCAACATCTTGTCATTCATACAGTACTGCAGTAGACAGTGATCTGTCATATATATTAGCTTGGCATCAAATTGCTGAAGAGATGAAAAAGACCGATAGCAGCTGATAGCATTATCTTCATAACACCCATAACTCTCTTCTTTAACTCTACGTTCCAGTGAATTTGCCGCAATCTTTCTTGGCTGAGTGCATATTAAAGATCCATCGCCAACTAAACCTGAATCAGCAAGAAATTGCACCAACTGAGTACTCTTTCCCGATCCCGTTTCCCCAATCAACACCATTATCTGCAAAATTAAAACCAAACAATCATAAAACAGAAAGGGATGATATAATACACAAAAAAATCCACCAGAAAAGAAGGCAGTGGGATTCTGAGATATGCAATTCAGTTTTTATCAACATTCCAACCATCATGTATAAGTTTTCCTCCTCCGTTACCAATTTTCTTCATTACAAGATTATTGGGTAAGCATCACTCAAACATGAAACCTATAATCATTTACTAAACCATTATTTTTTTACAGTCTCCTTTGACCATTATATCTTTAATTATGTATTTAGTAAAAATCATGAAAAATTAATATTTTGGGACATACACATCCTTCTACGTATTATGGTTCGTCCAAAAATACTTTTGAATTTAAATTTTTTTTAATTATACAAAATATTGATTTACATGTTTGTTTTGCTAATGCACAACTTTGGCCATTTATATCTTATAATAATCTTCTTTCAAATTTTCCAAAAAAATAGATTTGTTTATATCTTTGACTACTTTTCACACTTGTTGATGTTTAGCTAAGACCAATTATATTTTTAATTTTTAATAATAATTAAAATTTTATTAGAAGTCTATATTTGAAATATTTACACGAAGACAATTCTAGCAAAATTCCACTTTAACATTTTTTTTCTACTCCCTGTGTTTCAATATTTATATGCTCACATTGACTATAGTTTTAACTAACATATTAAAACAAATGTTATCGTGTAAAATGTTGTTAAATACAGTATAATATCAAATGTTATTAAAACAAATTATATTAATTTAAAGTTTCAAAATATTAACTTTTTTTCTAAATTATACTAATATTCAAACATATACGAAAAATATATAGGGTCAAGTTATTATGAAATAGGGGTATTACATACCGTGTAATAAGTTATTCACTAGTGTTGGTCAAAACGGAGTAGGGAGATTGTACACCTGGGTGTAGGGTGCAAGAGCACCTTGGTAGTACACATGACACATGATGCACCCATGTGTATTTAATTCTTATTTACTAATCAAATGAAGAGCAAAACCTAATACTCCTTCCGTTTTTTCAGTGCAATTGAATATTATTCCCTCCGTTTCATAATAAAATGCCTCTTTGGGTTTTTATGTGGAAATTAAGAAAATTATAAATTTATTAAAACTAATGATTAGAAATACATATATGCAAGTGGAGTTAGAGAGAGATAATAAAGAAAAAAAAGTTGGGAATAATAGAAGAGATAAAGAGAGAAAGTGTTGAAAATTGATGTTAAAAATACAAAAAATAAAAAGAGAAATGGAAAAACGAAGATAACTCATCAAAAAGATAATAATGTCTAAAGTACAACTTTTAAATAGAAAGAGACATTGTATTTTGATTTGCCCGAGAAGGAAAAGAGACATTGTATTATGAGACAGGGAGTAGTATTCTATTTATTAAAACAATTTCAACAAGTATCCGCAATACTATATCTTTTCTTGTACTTAAATAAAGTGTGAGAGTATTAGGTTAATTGGAAGTAAAACACCGGGTGTATTTAATTTTAAAAAAAAACAGTTAAAAATATGCCTTAAAAATAAAATTGGTGGGCACAAAGCTAAAGAAATAAGATTGGTGGAATCTTACAGTATAAAACTGTGTGAGACAGAAGAAGAACATTTCTTTTCATGCAGAATGCAGTGCATACAACAACAAATTGATTCATAAGTTTATAACCATAGAACATGAAAAGACGAAAATACCCTTGTTACCTTAAGGTAAATGTGGTTCATATCTTCATACTTTCTTTGAGGGTATTCATGTCATTCTCACACCATAAACAACAGAACAACCCCTTCTTTAAAATTTTAACTATACACAAATTATTTCATCGCTTTTCTAATTACAGCATTCACTTTGTCAATTTTTCTCATACGCCTAACACCTTGTTGTATGACTTGTTTCTTACGTGTATGTTACTCCGTATAACCCAAACTACTTTTTATTTGTTGCGGCGCTTTCGTTTAACATGCTATGGCTAAAAAATAGTCTTGGTTATACAACGGTGACAGACTAAACACGAGTAATGACACTATATTGCAAGTTATTAAAAAAAAAAAAATAGAGATTAGCTTAAGAAAATTGACCTGCTGAGAACTGATCTCCCGGAGAAGTTCCCGGCGATAAGCATATACAGGCAAACCGTCTCGAAACCGACGACATTCCCTCGTTATCAGATGATAAATCCTCGGCCAATCGAACCCGCCATCATGGAACCAATACGGCGAATAACCTCCTTTACATTCTACACCTTCAATGTAACAACGCAAACAACGAACACCTGCTTTAAACTCCTGAATACGCTTAACAATCAACTCTTTCTCACTCTTCAACACCTCCTTCTTCTTCCTATTCTCCTCAAATAGCTGCGGATGTTGTTGTTTCTTCATAGCAACAAAAACCGCTGCAATTTCTTTCTCCAAACTCTGCAATTTTTCCTCCCAGTTTTTCACCTCTTCTCCAGAATCCATACCTCGAAGCTTCGCCAGAAACAGCGGTTTCAACCTATCGTTAACCTCATCAACATCAGACGGAACGATGACGTTTCGAATCAAAATTGGGGTCAAATTATGTTCGCCATTGAAAAGCGCCTCCCAGAATTTAACGACACCTTCACGAGCGCAAATCCATTGAATGTAATACAGAAGAATTGACGACGATTTCCACTCGAAAACGACGTCGTACGGTCGGAATTTGCAGTGTTTCACCAATACGCTTTGAATAACACCGGAATTTCTGTAATTGAAGGTGTCGCCAGGAAGAGGAGAGAGCTTGACGATGAAATTAGGGCGGAGACGACAGTGGTCTTCTAGAACATCCGGCGGCCGTCCACGGTGGTCATCCGCCGGAGATTTGTGATTCCGGGATGAATACGACGAAAAATTCGAGTGATTTCGGAAACCTGGGTTGCAAATTCGAGCCATGAGAAAAATTAGGGAGAAAAACCCTAAGAATTTGGGGAAAAATTTTGAAGGTGAAGGGTTTTAGCTGAGAGAAACAGTGGGTTAGTGAAAAATTAATTTTTTTTTAAAGGGCAGAATAATTATAGAGGGGTTTTTGGTTTTGGGTTTTTATTAAGGGTGTGAGTGATTAAATTAATTAGATTTAATTGTTTTTATTTTTTTATTTATAGAGATAGTGAAAGTTGGATATGATGGAGATTATGAGTTGGAAAAGGTTAATGCTTTTTATTTTCTTGGTGATTTTCTTGGTGATTTGTCGTTTTTCTTAGGTTAGTGTACTACCTATAAGAGGAGTACTTTTTGGAATCCTTCTAGAATAAGCAATGTGATTTATTTGAATGTTCTTTTGAGTAGGAGGGTAAAGAGTTTGTGACATTCAAAGGAAGGGATAGGGAACGCATGGTGCCCTAATTTAACGGGTTTTTATATAAAGGATCTTGCTAGCGAGCGTTGCGGGGCGTTAAATAAGAAATAATTATATTTGTTCAAAATAGTAATGAGTTAGGAATGCATGACAAAATTACATGTTGTTCAGTATAATTAACATTAGTTCTAATCTAATATTTTAATTTTTAGTTCTCTTATCTAATGCCCCGAAGGCGCTCATTAGCTTTTGCCTTTTAAAACTAGTTTTGTGTCCTGCGTAATGCTCGGGAATTGACCGGTCTACTTATATGATAATTTTTTTGAATTATATATAACTTTATCGAAAATAAAACTCTAAACTAAAAATTTTATCAAATTTTATCCTAAAATTTTATCCAAATAGAATTCTAAATAACTTTTTTTTATCTTATAAAGCGTATTTAAATCTATCCAATGTGGCACGACACTTGGCAAAAAGTTTATCTTTATATATTAGTTATTATATGATATGATAGGAAGGAAGTTTAGGGTCTGTTTTGTTCAGCTTAATTTTAGTTCGGTTAATTTCAGCTCCAATTAGTTCAATTAAACTCCAATTAGTTTAGTTTTGTTCAATTCAATTGTTTTCAGTAAATCGAAAGAGGCCCTAATAAGATAAGGTTTTTATTTTCTTCTAGTGTGGAGTGATGGAGGAGATAGATTTTGTGTGTGTTGTTGAATTTTTTTGATTGATTGTGTAAAAAATTTTAAGAATTGTTGATTTTGGTTATGATGCAAAAGGTGGAGTAGGATAAGCATGAGATTGTCTTCCTTCTTGAGTAACCTAGATTGCATGCAGAAGATAGCCATGCAACAAAAATCTCGTATATAAACACTTTTCTCCTTCGTTATACATGAAACGGCCTTTTTTATGAATGAGAAATCTAACTTTTTTATTTTTCCAAATTAGATAAAATATAGTATATCATAGCAGTGTGTAAGTAACAATTATCAAACAACTAAATAAGTATCAATTTATAACTATCAACCATTTACACTTTTATAGTTATCAACCATTTTATAGCTATCAAGATCAACCAATTTTCACATCAATAGATAAACCATTTTTCACATATATATGTTTGTGAACTTCCTTATTAGTTATATATGTTTGAAATTTTATTGAAAATCAACCATACCATTGATATGATATTGTTAGATTAGGTTTCATCAATAATAGCTCTTTGTATTTTCTTTGTTATTCTCATTCATAATAATTGCCCCATTAAAATATATATATAGACAAAAGGAATACTTGAAGAGCAAGCCTAAAGATGATTTTGTGTCGTGTCTTTGTGCGGACCCACGTGTTTTGGGTTTAGTTAGGCCTAGCCCACGAGTTATGTGTCAGGTCGGATAGAAATTTTCAAAAGGATGGCCCATGCACGACCCAATTCAAACCCATATGCCATCGTGCTGGTTGTGTCAGGCTTGTGTGGTTAGTCAAAAGTTCATTGATTATAGCATGTTTTGTCATGTCGTACCTTATCGTGCTTCTACCACATAAGGGTAAGTCTTATATGTGGCTAGTCACACAGTGTGACTAATTAGTTTATAAGAACAATGTTCATTTATAAGTGTGAGTAACCTTGTGTTGTCCATAAAAGTAATTCAAATTCATTATATAAATAAAATCAAATAATTGAGAAATAAGTAACCACATTTGTTCATTTGAGTAACCCCTATTATTTTATTTCAACAAAAATAAAATAAAATAATAATTCTACTAATTTAAGAGAGTAACCCTTGTTTTTCATTCAAGTAATCTACATACATGCAATGTTAAGGTAACCCCATTAGCTCATCACCGTGACCTCTATTATTTAATTAATTGCCTTATATGTGATTATGTGAAGTGGCCACATCATGTAGTATGTAGTATAAGAATTCTATATGTGGGTGTAAATATTATCACAATAATACCATTTTTTTTTTTAACCTTAAATTATTTTATTTTAGTTGAATTCATATATATATGTAGATTTTTTTTGAGGGAATTGAATTCATATATTAATTTCATTTCATTTCATTGTTGGTTTTTCTTGTTTAATTTACCATGCATCATGAAAATTTATCAACATTATTCTACCCGTCAAAAAAAAAAAAAAAAAAACAAAATCAACATTTTTTTTTTTGAAAAATAAAATTTTATTACCAAAGAGAGAAAGTTACAACTTACAAAGCTAAGTTATAACTACCACCAGAACACCAAAAGACCTGAAAACAACAGGCCAACCCCACAACCAGTTCTAGATCCAAACCTAGCCACCTTCTAGGAAGGGTTCTAGGAAGGACCTAGAACAACTGGACTCAGATTTCCGGCCACCTTCTAGGAAGGGTTCCGGAAACCAGGACCAGACAACAAACAACTAGAAAAACAACAAAACCAAACACCCAAAAGCCACCAAAACCAACAGTCAGGAGCAGACAAGCCTGCAAACTGACAAGAAAACTAATAAAACAAAAAGACAACAATAAAAGTACCAAAGCTAGCACCAACAGCAGAAAACAAGGCACAGAGCATCGAATAGCATACAGAACAGCGCACAGCAACACCAACAGCAGAGCACAACACCAGCAGCTAGGCAAAGCAGGGCAAAAATCAGTGCAGAAGCAGCAGACCAGCAGTGCAGCAGCAGTAGAAAAAAGGCAGCAACAACAACAGCACCAGAACTTCAGAGCAGAGGCACACCCAGCAGTGCAGTAGCAAACAGCAGCACACAGCACAGCACAGCAGACACCTAGCAGCAAAAGCAGACAGCAAGCAGCAAAGCACTGAGCAGAATAGGGAAGCAGCTGCAAAAAAAACAGAACAGCAGGGCAGACAGCAATGCAACAACAGCAAGCAACACCAACAGACAACAGCAGCGCACTGCAGTAACAACAACAGCCCTAGAACAGCAATGCAGATGTGCAACCAGCAAAGCAGCAGCAAGGCAACAGTGCTTAGCAGTGCAAAGCAGAACACCCAACAGAACACAGCCCCAAAAGCACAAAGACAGCAAGCAAACAGCAAAAACCAGCATAAAAAGAACAGCAAACAAAACAAAATACAACGGGAACCTCAACTGAAAAAGAAAGAAACACACCCACAAGGAGCCCGAGACAAGCCCTAAACAATCAAATATTTGCTTCCCGCCGGGATTCTACAAACTGAGTGAAAGACAATATCCCGAACAAGGGCATCAACTGATTTGCAGCAACCAGTAAAGAGAACTGCATTCCTTTGAATCCAAATACCATAAACTGTTTCAGTGAAGGCCACCTGGATCACTTTATTCTTTAATCTGGAACTTCTGCAGATTTTCTTCATCCAATCAACCTCATCACTAAACTGCTGAACAGGCTTGGAAACACGTAAGATCCCCAAAACCTTACTCCAAACCTTCCTAGAGAAATCACAATCAAAAAATAGATGCTGAACACTTTCATTGCCATTCAAACAAAGGAAACACTTTGGATCACAAGAGATGTGCCATTGGAGCAACCTATCCTTAGTGACAAGCCTATTCCATAAAGCTAGCCACAAGATGAAAACACTTTTGGGAGTTGCTAAGTTATGGCAAGTAACTCTCTTCCAAGGAACTTTAGGCACTTTAGGCCTAATAGCAGCATAAAGATTCTTGATTTTCAACTTGTTGCCCTGAACAAAACCATCCCATCCCCCTTGATCATTCACAATATCTCTACAACTCAAAATCTTCTTCAAGAACCAAGAGCATCTAGCAGGGGTAGGGGTGGTCCAACAATCTTTATGCTTGAAATAGTAGATATGAACCCACTTAACCCAAAGATTATCAGCGTTGTGAGCAATATCCCAAAGTAACTTAGTGACAGCTGCTTTATTCCACTCAGGAAGAGAAAGCAGGTTCCAGCCACCACAAACTTTAGGAAGACAAACATTATTCCAAGCAACCAAAGACTTATTAGCATGAGCAGAGGAACCGGTCCAAAGAAAGCACCTGAACCTAGCCTCAATCTCTTTCAGAATTTTCTTCGGAAGAATAAAAATTTGAGCCCAATAAGTCTGGATACCAAACAACACACTCTTCACCAATTGAATCCTCCCAGCATAGGACAAGTGTTTAGCCATCCATCCTTGAATTCTAGCAGTGACTCTCTCCACTAAAGGCCTACATTGAGCAATAGTAAGCTTATTTGAAGAGAGAGGGACCCCAAGATACCTAAAAGGAATGGAGCCTTGAGAAACACCAAGAAGCTCTCTCAACTCTTTCTGAATATCAACAGAGACTCCTCCAAAGTAGACTTCACTTTTATCAAGATTAGCAGAAAGCCCAGAGGCACCCGAGAATTTCGAGAAGGCTTGGAAGAGAAGTTTGACAGAAACACTATCAGCTCGAGAAAACATCAATAAGTCATCAGCAAACATCATGTGAGTTAGGTTTAACTTTTCACATCTAGGGTGAAAGTTAAAGTCAGGAGATAACCTAAGCTCATCAAGGCATCTGGAGAGGTATTCCATACCAATAGCAAAGAGAAAGGGAGACATAGGGTCCCCTTGTCTTAACTCTTTCTTAGCTTCAAAGGGAGGGGCAGGAAAACCATTAATAAGATTAGAGTAAGAGACATAAGTAAGACAATTCCAGATCCAATCAACAAATCTTCGAGGGAAACCAAGCTCCTACATGACAGTGATCAAGAATCCCCACTCAACTGAATCATAAGCTTTCTTTAAATCCACCTTAACCATACACCTGGGAGAGATAAATTTGTGATCATAGCCTTTGATCAATTCAGTTGCAAGAAGAATATTGTCACCAATGTGCTTGCCAGGAATGAACCCTGCCTGAGCATCATCAATCACCTCACCAATGACAACAGCAAGCCTAGCAGTTATGATTTTAGAAATGAGCTTATAGACCACAGTACAACAGGCTATAGGTCTAAAATCCTTAACATGAGAAGCAGAGAGGACTTTAGGGACCAAAGTAATAGTTGTGCAATTCCATTGCCTAGGAAAGATCCCATTATTAAAGAAATCAATCACACTTGCATAAATATCATCTTTCACAATATGCCAAACTCTCTTAAAGAAAAAGGAGTTAAAGCCATCAATACCAGGAGCTTTAGTGTTATCAATTCCCTTAAGAGCGACATCAATTTCAGCATGAGAAATAGGCCTAATGAGGTAGCTCTGGGCAACAGAGCTAAGCTGCTTACCCCTCCGCATAGTAACAAGGTCAACAGCAGGGAGCCAAGGAGCCTGAGTCCCTAAAAAAGACTTATAGAATGAGATAATTTCATGAGAAATGGCATATGGATCCTTAAGCAACACCTGATTAGAATAAAAAATGGAGTCAATTCTATTCCTTGCTTGCCTAGTCTTCATCACAGAAAAGAAGTAGTGAGAATTGCCATCTCCAAGCTTAACCCAATTAATCCTAGATTTTTGCTTGAAGATGTTTTCCTGAATATCATTCCAGTGCTTGACAACCTTAATAGCATCAGATTCTTTATCATATAAATCCAAATCATCAGGATTCTGAGCCATTAAGGTTTGAATTCTAGAAAGCTCAGTATTAGCCTGGTCAATCTTTTCCTCAATGTTACCAAACTGCTTGCTAGTAAGAGATTTGATACTAGACTTCACAGAATTGAGCTTCCGCCAAACAGAACTGCCAGCTCCCCAAGCCTGCGAAACAGTATCAAGAAAATCAGGGTGATCAACAATACAGTTTAGAAACCGGAAAGGTCTACCTTTCCCAACAGGGCTAGAGCAAATATCCAGCAAAACTGGAATATGATCAGATAAAGAAGGAGGGAGATAAACAGTCTCCACATGCCCATGAGAAGCTAACCAAGCTTGATTACCAAAGGCTCTATCAAGTCTAGAGAGCGTTCTAGGGCCAGTATGAGCCTTATTAGACCAAGAGTAGAAGGATCCTTTGCTTTTGAGCTCAGTGAGGTCCAAATCATCAACCAAATTCTGAAAGTCTCTAGTCTCATAATCAGTAACATCAGCATCATGAAGCCTATCAGAAGCATGAAGAACAGAGTTATAATCACCAACACAAAGCCAAGGAGAATGCTGGATAGACATGCTTCTGAGCCCCTCCCACAAAGAAAGCCTATCATGAATGGAGTGAAGACCATAGACAACAGTGAGAAAAATTTGAGTAGAGAGATCCTTAGAAGAAACAGTACAATGAATGAACTGTTCATGAGTCTTCAAGACATTAACAGTTACTTTATCCACATTCCAACCAAGCCAAATCCTCCCTTTGGGAGAATGGTCATAATTACACAACCAAAGCCAAGAAGAGCCAAACTTCTTCTGATAAGTGAGAACATTTTTCAATTTGATTTTTGTTTCAAGCAATCTAACAACATCAACTGAATGAGAGTGAAGCAACCTCCTTACAGAGCCAACTTTGCCAGGGTCATTCAGGCCCCTGACATTCCAAACAGAGTAAATCATGACACCAAAGGGGATTAACCTCACCCCCGCTTGGATTTATAGTGAAACCACCTGCACCATCCATATCATTTGCAAACAAAGCAACAAAGGCATTAGAGGTAGAAGCAGGCTGATGAACTCTAGTTTGCTGGCTTTGTGTTTTCCTCCCTACTATTCTCCAACCCTCATCTGAATTCTTAGAGGTATGAACCTGTGGAGTAATAATAGATTGACCATGAACAGAAACCCCAACATCAACAGCAGCAGTAGAAGCAGGAACATGGGTAGGCTTAGGAGCCTAAACTTGCTTTTGCTTAGGAGGAACAGGAGCCGGTTGCTTAGAAGCCTGCTTAGGCAAAGGAGGCTTAACAGAGCAATCATGACCAATCTTGTTACATTTAGAACAAAAAGAAGGAGCCCACTCATACACCACCCTGATCTCTAATAATTCCTTCGAAGGACTCTCAACCCACACAGAGGTTGGCATAGGCTTTGTAACATCAATCTCAATCAGAACCCTAGCAAAAGACACTCTAAGCTGTCTAGTAGTACACTCATCAGCACAAATTGGCACTCCAAGCAAACTACCAAGGCGGCTAAGAGTGTGAGATCCCCAACAATTAAGTGGAAGATTAGGGAATTTAACCCAAAGAGGAATAGTTCTAAGAATTTCAGCATGAAAATCAAAATCGGGGCACCAAGGCTTCACTATTGCAGGCTTTCCAAAGAACATATGAGGACCAGAACAAAGTATAGTATTTCTATCATCACTAGAGCACATATTGATAATAAAGTACCCATCATCATGCCAATACACATCTGGTTTTTGCATATCATTCCATTGTTGAGCAAAGAAACGAAGAACAACAACAATAGTAGGATAAAAGCCAACCACATAAAAAACAAGAGCATTAGCCCATTTTCGATTACCTTCCTCAAGCTCGACTGCTTGTAGCTCAGCAATTAGTTTTCCATCTTGCACTTTCGGAGCAACAAAGGATAGAGTAGCTCCTTTTGCAGCCAATTTCCCAGCAAAAGATGAAGCTCGAGTCACATTCTGCTCCAGAACAGGGGAAACAGCACGGTTTTCAGCAGAATCGCACGAGCTCAGCTCCAAGGCAGAAAGAGGAGCAGCTCGATCTTCGTTAACATTGTGCGCAATATGCTCCAGAGAGGGTGAGGAAGGAAGAACAGAATGTCCTGGTGCACCACCGTGCCCAGATCCATCTATGATTTGATAGCAGAGAGGGGTGTAGCTTGGAACCCGCCATGCCTTCAAGAGCAGCTCCCTGGATTCCGGGGATGCTTACTAGGAGGAGTCTCTGGCATGGTTTTCTTAGTCGAGTCTGATGCTCAAGCAAGCCTGCCCCAAGCCGGCTAAGCAGTTGCTTTGAATCGGATTATAGGGCCGCCTTTTGAATTGAATCTTAATAAGTAGTAAGGTGAAAAGACAGGATGTATTCCGACGAAATGCTATTGATTCTAGAAGGACTATAATGAAGAGGACGACAGACCCACTCACGATCTACTAAAGGTATCGGAGATTGATTGGTTCGAATCCAATTCGTGAGATGGCAGTGATCTTTAGCCGAACCTTCTACGGTCTACCCTCTTTCTCGATATCCCAATTCTAGCGTTCGTTAGCAGCATCCAATGGAACAGTAAACCCAAAAACCCTAGGTACTGTTCCATTGGACTGATTCGATTTAGCAGCAGCTTTAGCAACGGAAGTAGCTTCAACATCCACTGGAACGCCGGAAATAGCACCACAAGCTGACTGAACTACCGCCGGCGCAGGAGTAAGCAGTTCATCCCCCTCTTGAATCGGGCTAGGAATAAAAGGGGTACTTGAAATTCCCAAATTCTTCAAAATCGAGCCAACAACTTCATGAGCAGCCTTTTGTTGCACTACTTGAGGTGTAGAAATAGCTTGCTTCTTCTTCTTCGCCATTAAAACCCAGATTTGATGAAGAAAACCAATCAAAAATGAAGAACCATGAGGAAGAGAGAGAAGAGAGAAAGTCAACGAAAGTCAAACCTCCCAAAATCAACATTATTCTAGACGGATTTTCGCTTTGGGTATAATTATTAACCCAAATACGGAGTATTGGACCAAGCCCAATATCAACAGTAAAATGGCTTCTCCTAAGGAAAAAAAAGTCCAATGGCTAGCCCGACCCGTTTCACTCTAAGAACAAATCCATCTAACCTTATGAAAAAAAAGAAAAAAAAAAGGAAATACTTAGTAAAAAAATTAAATTAAGAAGAAAAATTTACAAATTGCAGTCATTTAAAGTTCGTATTTTGCAAATTGCAACCATTTAATTTTTTTTTTGTAAATTGCAGCCAAAAGTTCGTATAAATTGTAAATTGCAGCTCAATTCAACTTTTTTATCGGTTTACATGTTGAAAAATATTCGTTTAAGGTTTTAGGGGCCATTTTAGTTCTTAAGAGTCCGAATTGAGCTTGGAACTAGCAAAAAAATATCATAAATGTCTCATTTTTACAGTTTTTCACATATTGATATATTTTTATTACGCAAAACGAGACAATTCTGTTATTTTTTTTGTTAATTTCGAGATCAATTCGGGCCCTGAAGGGCTACAATGACCCCTAATACCTTAACCGAAATTTTTTTGACATGTAAATCGATGTATAAGTTGAATTGGGCTGCAATTTACAATTTGTACGAACTTTTGACTGCAATTTGCAAAAAAAAATTTAAATAGCTGCAATTTGTAAAATAAGAAATTTAAATGACTGCAATTTGCAAATTTTCCAATTAAGAAAAGAGAACCAAAATAAGGAATTTATCAAAATAACCCTTGTCCGCTTTCGTCATATTATTTGATAAACCCTAAAAAAAACCCTAACTTATTTCAATCTCCATCTCTCAGTTTTTTCGCAGACTGAGAAAATGGAGTTAAAGTTCGGAAAGAAAGCAACAATGGCGGTAACTAAGAAGAACACGAAGAAGAAAGAGAAGCAGGAGAATTTAAAGGAAAAGCGGAGGGATGAAACTAAGGAGAAAGAATCGAGTAAAAATTTGCAGAAAAAATCCAAGGAGAAAAAAGTTAGAAGTAGTTTGCAGAAAAAATCCAAGGTGAAAAAAGTTAGAAGTAGTTTGCAGAAAATCAAACTATCTGATGATGAAGAAGAAGCAGAAAAATCATCTCAAATTTCAGTGAGTTACTTTTTAATTATATGTAGTTTTGATTTTTGAGAAGTTATTGCAAGTTTTGATGTTTAATTTGATTTTTTTGTGAAAGGAATATTATTCCGAAGAGGAGGAAACCTCTGGAGATGAATTAAATGGTAAATATCTGAGTTCCTGCTTAAGAATTAGCTATTTAATTATAATTTGTGAATTTTAGGATTGGTACTTTTGCGTTTAATTTGAATGTGATTTGAATTAGTTAATGTAGACGGTGCTTCGCCTAGTAGAACCGTTGTAGCTCGTAAGCGCGGTGACACGAATACGAGTGGTGGCGTTAGTGACGATAATGATTCTTTTCATTCGGCTGTAGAGAGTGATTCCTCAGAAGACGAGGTTTGGATATTGCATTGGCTTAATTTTGGTGGCATTGGGAGTTTTATTCATGTGTTTGATGTTTAAAGATTGTTTTATTGTTAGGTTGCTCCTCGAAATACTATAGGAGAAGTTCCATTGGAGTTTTACAAGGATGAGGAACACATTGGTTATGATGTTATTGGGAGGAAGATTAAGAAGAAGGACAGGAAAGATAAACTCGATGCTTTTCTCGCCAATGTCGATGATAAGAAATCATGGTATGTTTGCAATCACTCCTTGCTGGTGGTAATTTAGCATTTGTTTGCTTTCTTTGCTTTATGAATGTTCCTTTAAAGATGTATGCTCGATTATTAGTACCTTTGTATATATCAAATCGATTACTTGCTGGAATTCGGAGCTTGGTGCTCATCCCTCTGATATAATTAGTGGAATACAAGAAATTTTTAACCCTGAAGTCTGCTCTTGGATAGAGTTAGAGAGCAACGTTTATTTCACTTATTTGACATCATGTGTGTGACGGAGTATGTTTATGTTTTGTTATAGTTGTACGCAACACATAGTAAAAAATATAGTGCCACTAAATGTTTATCTCTTTATACTATGTATAATAGTTATTACCCTTCTTTAGGTTCTGCTTCCATCAATTGCTTTTTGGTTGCCAGAAATGTTCTCTGGGTTGGAGGGAGAAGGAAAATTTCTACTTTTTTATCATCGTCTTTTTTTTAACTTCTTTGTTCAAAGAATACTAAGTATTTTCTCAAAGGAAGATTGCTGCTGTTGAATTTTATAGATTGGCTTTTGATAAAAATTAGTAAAGCATAATAGGTGTCCTCGTATAGGCGCTTAGCTAGTGATAAAAAAATTTAGTAGACACTTGTTACCTTCGTCAGTGCATACAAGTAAAGATTTTCCTTGTTGGATGTGTAATTTAATTATTTTGGAATTACATTGTATAGACACCTAGCATGCAAAATAACTTCTACATATTCGAATAGGAGTTGAGAGCCTTGGGGTAGCTGACAAAATGTTCTGAAGTGTGTTGGCTAGGATTTACAAAACATAGTAAATACATGTGGATGGAGAGGCGTTAAATATGTTATGTGGTGGGGTTAGTTTTGGTTTTCTTGTTAACGATCACATGTTTTACGTTTTAGGGGCTCAGTAAATGAATGCGAACACTGGATCATGCATGGTAGATTCTGTAATAGACTACTACTATTGTAAAGCAATTATACTAAACTAAATGACTAAGAAGGCAGCTTGTTGAGATTTTCATTAATGGAAATAAGAAGATAACAATGGCTTTAGGCCATTAGTCTCACCATGTAGCTTGAGGCTACAACTCTCTATTACAATTCACTCAATTTCTGGATGATTTCTAATTAGAATTACCACTACTTATACTAAGTTGGTCACTATGACCTTAAGGCTTAACATGTGAACTTAGCTTAATTTAGAAAAACATAACTCAACATTATAGAACCAAGGCTGCCTTCTTTCCTTCCCTTCCTCTTAATTAGTTTTGTCATTAGCTCTTTGTTGCTAGTGTTGACTCAACTTCTTCAACCTCTTCCAACTCTCTTCCCTCTGGCTGCTGCTGATCCTCCTTTTGCTCTGTTTGCCGTGCCTTGACTTGTGGAGTGTGGGCCTTGGGGCTTCGGGTGTAGACTTGTATAGGCCGGTTTATGGGTTGGGCTGTATGATCCATCACAAATTCGTAGAAATAAATGCAGACCTTTTCAATGTCAGATCAATTGTAGACATCCCTCACATAAAAGATAGCCTTGTTGGGCTTTACTATTGAAGTAATCATAAGCCTTTTTTATCAGAATTTGTCATCCTCACAGGAGAAAAGTTTGTATTATGTTTTTCACCTGTCATTCTGTCCCTATGTACATCTAAAGGTTATTTTATAGGGTATTTTATTTTGTTTTTTCTTCCTAAGACACCTTTATTTATACATTGGTTGCATGCTATATTGGATTGTTGTCATCCATTACATTGAACCAAAGACCCTGTCTTTGTTCTTGTATACTACTATAAGAATTGTGACAACATTACTTATAACATGTTTCACCATCCTGCTGGAAATTCTGAGCTTGTATAAACATATTTTTCATGTAACTTTGGAAGTGCTTGTGGGGGGAGTTAGAGATTTAAATAGCATATATATTCAATAAGTCCAACTTTGAGAGTCGCTAGTTACTACCAGATATTGAGCTATATATAAATCTTAGTTTCTTTTTGCTTCTTTCATGGTGACTTCTTCTTCTTCTTTTTTTTTTTTTTAAATAAAAATAAAAAATTGGCTGTGCTCTTAATATTTCTGAGATCATTTATGCTTGGGCCAGTCCAAAGATTGAGGATGAATAGAGTTTGAGGAATGCTTCATTTCTTTTCTAGGGCAAGATAAGTTGTGATCCTCTGCATGCATGTTTGTGATGCTTCTTCTATGCAAAGTGTTGGTTTTATGTAACTTGACTTATAAATGCAATAATTGTAGGCGGAGATTTATTGATGAATACAACGACGAAGAAGTGGAATTGACGAAAAAAGAGACCAAGATGATTAATCGTATATTGAAAGGAAAGACACCACATGCTGATGTGAATCCTTATGAGGTATCATGCTCATTTTATTTGTGTTATACTATGATGCTAATGCATTGTAACTATTAGCCAACTAGAGTTCTATGCTGTGGTCTTTTCATAACCGTAATACATCTCCTCTGCAGCCATATGTTGATTGGTTTGTCTGGGAAGGTAAAGGCCATCCTCTGTCAAATGCACCAGAGCCAAAGAGACGGTTTATTCCCTCTAAATCAGAGGCCAAGAAGGTATTCTTTTTTAAAAAGATTCTCTGTCAAGTGGAGCACTTTATAGTTTCATGCAGTAGTGAACCTCTCATCTCTATATATAGGGTTAGATGTCATTAGGTCTTTTTTGTTTGTTTGTTTGTTCTGTGGTGCTGAAATAATTACACATTAAAAATTGTGTATGGAGTCTTCTAGGATTGTCAAATTCCGGTGGACATTGTACAAGATGTAATTGGACCCCTTAGAATGCCCCTGCTATGAGTGTAGCTGCAAAACTAGTTTAAATTAGTGTCAATTTGTGAGATATGTGTCTTTAAACTAGACATTGTTCCCTTAACCTTATTATTAAAATAATATTTAGTAAAATTTAGTTCAGAAAAAATAAGTTAAGTTCAACAAAAATAAGTTCAGCTTGACAAAAATAAGTTCAGCTCACTTAAAATGAGTATTAATCAATACAAATAATTGAAGGTCGACAAAGATAAGGTGAAGAAATCAGGGTCTTACAAGTGAAAGTAATTAGTTGATGTTTTCTGATAAAAATTTTGAAGATGTTTCTCCATGTTTTTGGTAGAGGTTAGGATAATAAGCTATCTTTTGTACATCTAGCGCAAAAATTAGAAAGGATGCTGAAATTGTATGCCTTGCTGGAACTTTTACTCTTTATTTAATTTTTTTTGAGAATGGTTTTCATACTGTCTCGTTTGTGTTAATGTGTTAATTTCCCTGTCTTTTGGTAGTCTTATTTCATCAGCTTGTCCTTATTTGGAGTTAAATTTATTGTTTCATTACAATCTTATGGATTTTATAATCATCTTATGCTATCATGTGAATCTGCAGATCAAAAAGTATGTACGGGCAATCCGAGAAGGAAGAATCACATTTGAAAAACCCAAAGAAAAGGAAAAGGTCTACCTATTATGGGGTGATGATTCTAGTTCATCAGGAAAAACAAGAGGATTATCCTACATTCCTCCTCCAAAAGCAAAATTGCCTGGTATGACTAATTCATTATGAGAGTCCCTCCCGCTCCCCTCTCTTCCCCTTTTGGGCTTTTGGGTCCCAAAATTTGGCATCAAACAAATTATATTCTTTTCAGGTCATGAGGAAGCTTACAATCCTTCCTTGGAATACCTACCAACTCAAGAAGAGATTAATTCATATCAGCTAATGTATGAGGAAGATAGACCTACATTTATTCCCACAAGGTATTTTTAATGCTCCATATGACCATGTCTGCAAGTATGAAATATTAACATTCAAAGATTGTTTTCTCTTCATTTTGATGTGAACTGATGGATTTATTACACTTTTTTTTTTATTAGTTATACATCTTTGAGAAGTGTCCCAGCATATGCCAATTTTCTCAAGGAATTATTTGCCCGCTGTTTAGATCTGTATCTGTGTCCTAGAGTTATTAAAAAGCGTGTAAGTTTTTGCCATTTAATGTAAAGAAAAACTGGCTGTTTTCTCTAAGCTGAAGTTTTTACCATACTCTGTGTCTTTGTACATGTACTTTATATATAGTGCTTGTGAACACAATTGAAGGCCTTACGGGAATCCATTCTGATTTGAATGTCTCCAGGTTAATATTGATCCTGAATCCTTGAAAAAAAAGTTGCCTGATCCCAAGGATCTTAGACCTTATCCTACAACATGTTATATTGAGTACAAGGGTCACAGTGAAGCTGTTGTCACTATTTCAACTGATTCTTCTGGGCAATGGATTGCTTCTGGTTTGCTATCGTGTTCACCTAGTCATCACATATTTGTATTTCAGGATGATGCCATCTAAGCTGAATAGGTTTTTTTTTTTTTTTTTTTTTAAGGTTCAACTGATGGTACTGTACGTGTTTGGGAGGTTGCTACCGGAAGATGTGTCCGTGTCTGGGAAGTTGGCAGTTCTATCCGGCAAGTTGCATGGAATCCTTCACCAGATCTACCAATTTTGGCCGTCTCCGTGTATGGTTCTTTTGAGTTATCAATAATTTGCTTTTTCCTTGTTTAATTGCATAACAATTGGCTAAACTTCTTTCTGTAGGGACCAAGACGTGCTTATTCTAGATACTGGATTGGGAAGTGAAGAAGAGCAGGGGAAAATTAAAGATCTTTTGCACATGCAGAAATCTACGATTTCTGATGAATCGGGTCAGTTTTTTTCTTTTCTTTTTTTTTCCCTACTGTTATATCTGCTTATGTAAAGATTAGCTTTGTCCCCCTTTCCTTATAACCCTCTCAATGAAATAAAATCTGCCTTTTCAATCTATATGTTATTATTATATAGGTGATGCTGCCATTGTAAGCTGGCTGTCTGATGACAAATTAGGTGGTCTTAGATTGAAGCATTCTAAGGTACTAATTTCATATTATGTACTTATATAATCCCGCATTAGGTATGTGCAAGGCAGCAAGGTGATTTTGTGAAGAGTGTAACTGCTTATTGTCTTTGGATTTACAGACCGTGACATCAATTGAATGGCACCGTAAAGGAGATTATCTCTCAACAGTGATACCAGCAGATATCCTTATCTCTTCTTTTGTTTTATTGATCTTCTTTTGTTCATTTTAGATTTCAAATTTTCAATCATAAATAATATGAAGTATAAAGCTTTAAGGCAATGTTTTCGGTAATAGAGATGATACTTATGTATCCAGCTAATTGGAAGATAACTTGTGTAGTACTGTAGTTACTGTAGTAATTATGAGAAACTCTTGTTTGCTATATATGGGGTGTATGTGTGTATGTGTTTTGCAGTGAAATATCCTTGGTTCCAATCAATTTCTGAAGCAATTTTTTTTGTGATAATCCTGACAGATGCTCTTGGCTCTTTATTATTAATGTGTTGGGGCCTGGGGCTTTATTTTGGGTGATGATCCTAGTAGATGCTGCTACTATCGTCTTAATTGTTGTTGGTCAGTTGTAGATGTATCCTTTACTGTCTTACTGCATATTAAGCTTTGTATGAGGTTGTAATTTTATATATTTCATACAGCTATACTTGTCATTTTTTCACCTGATATAATTACTACAGTAAAATACGATGTATTATTACACACTATTCTTTTCTGTTGAACTGGTGGCTAAAAAAAAAGTGAAGCAGGGATTACTAATAAAAACCTTGTCTTAAAAATTAGCTTCATACGCTCTAGGTCCTTTATTCGAGTTGATTATCTGATTTCCATTTGGTTAAAATTTGAAGTTTTAATAGACTTTGGTTATACTTGTACCTGGCTGCTTGGCTTTCTTTGTGGGAAATTAGACTGGGGACACTTGAGTATCTTCAACAATGCTAAATGTGATGTTCACTGTTACTTGTTTGCCCCATGAATTTTCTTAACATTTTTTTTACGTGAATCTCGAGCGATAATGATACACCAGCTGTCTAGAAAAGGAAGTCAGAGAATCCCTTTCAAGTTGCATGGACTTCCAGTCTCTACGGCTTTTCATCCAGTTCGTTCAATTTTCTTTATCTCAACCAAGAAAAATGTTCGTGTGTATGATTTACTCAAGGAAAAAATGATCAAAAAAATTGATACAGGGCTGCGTGAAGTTTCGTGCATTGCAGTGCATCCCGGTGGTAACAATCCATTCTTTGCTCATTTTTAACATAGTTTTAATTCTGTAGTTGTACATGTGCTTTTATCTAAATTTTTTGTTATAACTCTAATGTAGGTGATAATGTGATTATCGGGAGTAGAGAAGGAAAGTTGTGTTGGTTTGACATGGATCTCTCCTCCGTAAAACCTTATGCAAACCTGAAGTATGTTCTCTCTCTTTAAAGGCTTCCTATCCTCTTAGCTTAATTTGGTTGACATTGATTTTGAATTGCCTATCTCTGGTATCGTTTTTATTGCGTTTGCTTTATACTGTGGGCGGCCTTGATATTAGGAGTCCTAATGGATTATGTAATTGGTTTTAAGCTTCCAAAAGTGGTAATATTGAGATAAAGAGGAATAAAGTGCAATAATCAAAACTTAGTATGATCTATAAGCTGTGAAGAATTCATACAGGGCAATCTCTATGTTTCTTTATCTGTGTCTGTTTCATTATCCTTTTTCTACAAGGCATCTTGGTGGGGAGAGCCTGTTCTGTGCACTCGGGTGATCCGTACACCCGGGTAATTGCTCATGGATTTTTGCTCATTTAATATATGAGCAAAAAAAAATATGCTCATTTATTAAATGAGCAAAAATTAATGAGCAAATTACCCGGGTGTACGGTACACCCGGATGTATATAACAAATTCTACTTGGTGGGTTAGGTGGCTGGGAAAAGGGGGTTGAAGTGACTTTGTTCTTTTGGAGCTTCTTTTGGAATTTTCTCCTTGCAGTCATTTTCTACTGCTTTTAGAAAAACTTGACATACTGATTTTACTTGTTCAATGGTTTTCTTTTCAGGATTCACAAAAAGGATATCACAAATGTGTCCTTTCACCGCTCATATCCTTTATTCGCTTCTTGTTCGGAGGATGGTAAAGCATATGTTTTCCATGGCATGGTTTATTCGGACTTAAACCAGAATCCTCTCATTGTTCCGCTGCGAATTCTCCAAGAGAAAAACGGTAAAGGCCAATTTTTTTTAAAATTTTTTTATTTTTATTTTCTTGCTGAAGGTTTAATTGCTTCTGTATTTTATTTCCTAGCCAAGATAAAAGCTGGCAATTTTGTTGTGGCTTTGCATTCTTGTAATGTTATTGGTAATGATATATGTCACATGTTAATTATCTGCTTATTGCCTTACAAAATTTAAGCGAATAAACAAGCACAAACCCGTCTATCTCTTCATGCTCTTAAGTCATATTTACTCCATTTTGCTTTCATATAGATTTAGTTGAGCTATATAGTACGAAGTACAAACTTATATCATGGCATTTTTAGTTTTACTATCCTATTTTTTTGGGAGAGGGGGTGTGGTTAGTCAGAAGCAAAATTGAAGACTAATTGATTTGTTTAATGCATATGCATGCTTCTCTTCTTTGTGCTTTAAATGTTACAGGAATTCAAGAATTCTAATTTCTGCTGATGCCTTGCTTACATTTTTTTTTTCTATCTTTGTATTTGCAGGCATTCTGGATTGCAAGTTTCATCCTAGGCAACCCTGGTTATTTACTGCTGGTGCTAATTCTGTCATCAGACTTTATTGTCATTAGGAAGACTAACTAACCGTCCTCATTATTTCATTAACATGAAACATTTGCATTTGTCACCGAAAACGTAAAAAAAAACTATCATAAATTGTGGAAACAACCAAGGATAAAAAAAAAAAAAAAAAAAATCTTATGTTTACTATGCTAGCGCTTCTGCAGGAGCTGTTTTTTGTAGAGTAGATTTTTTTTAATTTATTTTGCTATGATATTTATAATATATGAATGATGTCATTAAATATTCATGACTGTGACGTTGATGTAAAGCTTTAGATACTACTAAATTTTGTTTTGAGCGACTGGTTTTCCTTGTATTTGGAGAACTCTTGTATCTGCTCAAGGATGTATTGTTGTAGCATACATAGTTTTACAAGCAGCATAAAAAAATCAATGTTATTGTATTTTGGTATAATTTTTTTTTTTCAGGCTTGAATTGTCAGGTGCAATCCATGTTATTGTATTTCGGTATAATTCTTTTTCAGGCTTGAATCTTTTGACCGGTTAAGTAATGCAGTCTTTTGCACAAGTAGATTGCAACTCGATTAGGCATTTGTTAATTGTATAAAAATGACAATGCTCCTAACTTGAAAAGGAATAGTATACACGGTTCTTTGGATTCTCGTTATACAGAATGGTCATCACGAATAAAAAGAGAAATTTTTTTTGACAAAAATAGTTTGGAAAATTAATCACATTGAGTTTCGGGTTTTGTTACGCTTCCACAAGCATTTTTTTTTTTTTGGTACGTGATACAGAGAAATAATTTGTAATTTGAGTGCTCTGGGATGGGCCGATTAGGAGAAAATTAGAAAACCAATTGTCTTTTATGTTGACTAGAGCAGCCAAAGCGCGTGCAAGGTGGCTAGCCCTTTTGGTTTAATTTTTCTTGGTTTGTGTTTGCACTTGACAAGGAGTTAGGGCCTGTTCTCTTACGTTGAACTTCTGTTCAGTTCAGCACAGTTCAGTTCAGTTCAGCTCCTAATTTCCTTCTCTTATAAAATACTCATTTCAGTTCAGCTCAATTCAGTTCAGTTCAGCTGAGTTCAGTCAATGAGAACAAGCCCTTAATAGACTTATAGAGGAATATCTCTCTATTGCTTAGCCTTAATTTTTCTTGCCTTGTGTTTGCATTTCACATGGAGTTAATTGTCTGCTGCCGAAGGTTCTTGTCTTTTATGTTGTAGAATATTCTCGGAAATGTGATACAACATGTTGCACCCTTATTTATTTAAGTAGTGAAAAAACACAGCGTGCTAACACTAATTTATATAGGAATTTATGATATTGATATATCTTTTGCGCTCATTGACCTAATTGGAAACAAATGGTACATCATATAGTAGTACATGATGGAGTGGCATTAATACATAATAGTATTCAAATACACATGATTTCACAATGCTAAAAAATTAACATATATTCAAATTATGAACTCGGACAAAATGCTTCTAACAATTTGGTTTGCAATAAATTAACCCTATGCAACCCATAATTCCCTTAGTAATTCCTTGAACCACTTCTTGCTTTCTTCCCCTTTTCACCGTAGTCAATTTGGTTTCCTTTCTTTTAAGTACATCTACTTCGGCACAATCATAGATTAATTTCATTAGTTTTATTGTCCTTTAAACACAATTATGTGTAAATCGTTTATTTCGACCTTCACAAAATGTAGGAAAAAAAAAATTCTCACATAAAGCAACAACCTTTCGTTGTCTAGTGACTAATGTTGTCATGTAATAAAAATAACCCCCTTTAAATTATATATAGAAAAATTTAAACTTTATTATTCCATTATTCATCTAATTTCTAATTAATTTATGGGTCTTAAGAAAATTACAAAATTACACTTGGGAGTAAGAAGGTAAAAAAAACATTTTGAGAGGTATAATAGTCCGTGCACTATTCATAAGAACAATCTCCCACTTTTTATAAAGTAGGGATTAAAATATACTATTAGTATAGTTTCCAAAATGTTAAATATTGATTGATAGATAATTCAATGTCATCGATTTTTTTTTTCTTCTTTTTTTTTTTTTTTTTTTTTTTTTTTTTTTTTTTTGTAAGAGTAATGGTTTGGGAATTCATCATGAAATCACACACAGATTATTGTAAATAATGTTAATTTATTCTCAATATTTATTTTTTAGCTTCTCATATATATGGTTATGTTTATCATTTTTTATTTTGAAAAACTTTAATAATTCAGGTGATAGTTAATTAATGCACAAACCTAATAGTGGGGTATTATGTTAATTTTAAGGGGGACACCATAACCTCCCTCTTGACTTATACTCTCTCTGTCCTTTAATGATAGTCCATTATGGGCAATTTTCACGGGAATTAATAAACATAAATAAGAATTGTAAAAGTACATTGGAAAGGTAAGTTGACATTAGGTATGCAAAAAAGTAGGGAGGAAAAGTAATAAAAGTACGTGAAAAAACAAAATTTACATAGAAAAGTTAAATTTGCGCAAATATTATTGCAAATTGAAGGGAATTTTGGTAAAAATTTAATATTAATGGTACTTGAAAAAAGCAAACGAGACTATCATTTTGAGACTTAAAATTGACAATAAGAGACTATTAATAAGGGACGGAGGGAGTATGAAGTATATAATAAAGATTTCTCAAGACAAATTGTAAGGAAATATAAAAATAGTAGTGGGCTTGAATGGGATCAAGAGAATTGAGAGAGATTAAATACTTTGTATAATTTCATAATGGTCCATTATTTGAAAAATCATCACGTTTGACCTCTTAATTTACTTTCATTTTTTTTTCTTTTATCATAGTATATGTATATTTAACAATTTTTATCATGAATTTTATTGTTATTGTTATATAGATGAAGTTGTATAGGTACAAAGTTTCTACTTATTAGCAGTGTTGTTGTGCATTTGCAAATGTATTAATGCAATGTTGTTGTGCATTTGCAAATGTATAACAAATATAAAAATATTAAAAAGTACATGGAAGTGAGAGAAAGGGGGAGAGAGAAAGGTAAGTGGGACTATTTTCAAATATACTACCGAAAGTTTATATAATACCATTAGTTATTTAGTGATACTATATATGTACTTAATTAGTACCACTGAATGCATACATAGTAGATAGTATTATTGAATGCATACATAGTACCACTTAAATACATCATAAAAATATAAACATTAATTATACTGATTTACGCGTGTTTTTGTCATAAATTCATAATTTAATACAATTTTACAATTTTCAAGAACGTAGTCTGATGTCTTTGTGTACAGAATGATTTGGAAAGTTTCATTTTAATTGCTTTAATACTTATATATAGTCATTGGGGCTACATATAACATTACCCTATTTTTTATTAATTTATAATTACCTGTATTTAAGGTGAAACTAGCGTATGTATCAAATTTGACTATGTCAATTATGTATAAATGTACGGAGTAGTAGTTTTCCCAAAAATGAAGGAGTATTATAAAATATGCATACTTGAAATGTTTTAAAGAATCCTTTTGTTCTTGTCAAAAAAAAAAAAATTGCTCCCATTAATCTGAACTTTGCATCATCCGCCGAAAATAATCCCAACTTTCGTTTATTATCTGTTGCACCCAAATTTGGGGGGTATTAATTTCTATTGCACCCAAATGACCTGCAACCGGTAAATCAGGTAAACATTTCTGATTTAATTTTTTTTTGCACACGTGTCAACATGTAATTGGTTGAAAAAAATAGGAAAAAAAATAAATTTAAAAACATAATTAAAAAAAAAAAACCCAACAGCCACCCTTAGCTTCTCCACCAGCCACCAGCACCACCATCACCACCATCACCAGCACCACCATCACCGGCGCCGACCCCCTCTCCCGCGTATCGTCCCCTCCCTCTCCCGCAACCACCCTCCCCGAAACCCTCCCTCTCCCGCAACCACCCTCCCCACCCTCTCCCGCAACCACCTCCCGCAAAACCACCTAAAACCCATCCCCCACCCTCGAAAACCCTAATCGGACCTCCCTAGCCATCGCTAGGGGTTCAGTCAGGGTTTTTCGAGGGTGGGGGATGGGTTTCCGGGGGTGGGCGGTGGAAATTAATTTTCGGGGTGGGTGATTTTCTGGGGTTTTCGTGGGTGGGGGAAGGGAAGGGGTGGGTTTCGAGGGAGGGGGAGGGGTTTCCGGGGGTGGGCGGTGGTTTCCAGCACCAGGGGAGGGTTTTTTCGGGGGTGGGGGTGTTTTCCGGCGGGGTGGGGGTGGGGGTGGGGGTGTGGTGGCAGCCGCTGGGTATGGGTGGGTTTGTGGGGTTTTTATTTTTTTGTTTTTTTTTAAAAAAAAAATAATTTAAGCCAATCATACGCTGACACGTGGCTAGGTAACCTGCTACATCAGGTTAGATGACCTGTTGGGTGCAACGAAAATTAATACCCCCTAAAGTTGGGTGCAATAGATAATAAACGAAAGTTGAGATTATTTTCGGCGGACGAGGCAAAGTTCAGATTAATGGGAGCAATTTTTCCAAAAAAAATCCTCTTGTTATGTTTTGTTGGATTAGATGGAGGAATTCAATCCCAATATACGCAAGCTGTCAGTCTTACTCTCTCCGTCCCTAAATTACATTTCTACTTTTAGCATTTATCCTCACATAATAATAGAGAGAAATAGGAACGTAATTGAGGTTTAGAGGAAGTATCAATGCTTTATCATCCTAATCAGGGTGGAAATGCCCAAATAACCAAAAACAAAGAAAAAAACGAATATTTGTTTACTCGTATTTAGATTGTTCAGTACTCCGTATATTACTACATAACGGCTGACTGACTTCTCCCTTGGCTAACCAGCAACTCAGCAAGCAACTCTACACTCTGGCCCCTGTACGGCGTGAATTAGAGCCAGAATTATGATGCAGGCACTGTGTAGAACAACTAATCGCACTTTCTTCAACTCACTCCATTTTTATTCTATTCTACGGTTTGTATTTCTCCAAAATTTCATTTTCTTCATTAATTATTTCTAAGGATTAATTCATCATTGCTTTCAATTTCTAGTATATTAATTGATTTCAGGAAGTTTTCATGAAATTGAGGGTACAATGTTTTCATTTTAATGCAGGGGTTCATCACAAACGAACAATTTATCTCATTATTCATCAAATTTTCATACTTATTTGCAATACCAATCAAAGGGTATCTTTACTAAGCAATTGGAATCTAATGTAAACTGGATTTCTCAGGGTGTTACTAGATTGTTGAGTGTTAGGAAGTTGAGCAATGAATCTGTTGTTGGTGTAAAGGATGATAATGGTGTTGTTAGGTTTTCTTTCGGCGATTCGCCTTGTCGAAAGGGTGATGCTAGGGTTGCTGCTGAAGAAGGTAAGGGGATGATGGTGAGAAAGAAAAAGAAGTCAAAGAAGGCTAAGGTGAATGAATTGAGGCTTTACCGGCTTATGGCGAAGAAGAAGATGAAATCGTCGAATCCTGAAGTTAGGATTAGATATAAACTGGAAAAGGTAGCATTTACTACCTCTGTTTCATATTATTTGCAATGATTAGATATTTTTCCTCTCTATTTAATGTCAAATTGTTACAAATAATATGAATCGGAGCCTGAAGTTAGGATTCGATATAAACTGCCTGAAGTTAGGATTAGATATAAACTGGGAAAGGTAGCATTGCTTTCTATTACTACCTCCGTTTCATATTATTTGCAATGATTAGATATTTTTTCTCTCTATTTATGTCAAATTGTTACAAATAATATGAATCGGAGCCTGAAGTTAGGATTAGATATAAACTGCCTGAAGTTAGGATTAGATATAAACTGGGAAAGGTAGCATTGCTTTCTATTACTACCTCCGTTTCATATTATTTGCAATGATTAGATATTTTTTCTCTCTATTTATGTCAAATTGTTACAAATAATATGAATCGGAGCCTGAAGTTAGGATTAGATATAAACTGCCTGAAGTTAGGATTAGATATAAACTGGGAAAGGTAGCATTGCTTTCTATTACTACCTCCGTTTCATATTATTTGCAATGATTAGATATTTTTCCTCTCTAATTTATGTCAAATTGTTGCAAATAATATGAAACGGAGGTAGATATATTTTGATGCTTTAGTGTATTTTGGTGATTCAGTAGCTATATATTGACATGTTCATTGCTATTATACTTCTAGGAGGAGAGTAAAATTCCTTCTGTTAATTTAGCAAGGTCTTTTTATGCATCTCTTAACCTTTGCATGATTGACACAATTAGCAATGTGATGATTTTGTTCTGAAGATGATAATTACATTTTCCCTTCATTAATATGGCTGTTTTTGAATTTTATAACAAAATCTTGTCAACTTTGATGTTAGTCTCTAATTACTTAGTTAGAACTATGGTTGTACATTGTACTAAAAGCTATAGAACTCAACCCTTGCTATTTCCGGTTTCTGAAAAACAAGATAGAGGAAAGGCGGTGCCTTTTTTGCATTGTCTCAAGTCTCAACTTTTGTATGCATTTGAGCATTCCAACTTTGATATGGCGGCACCACATAGTGCTTTGCTATGAACTAAATGTTCTGGTTCACCCCATCATCCACGCCAAATGCACCTGAATCTTAAATAATCTTCCATTCACAAACGACGAGAAAGATTGGAAATAATTCCTAAGTGGAAGAATAATGCAATGTTAGTGGGGAAAGGTTATAATATTGACTGTGATGCCTTGGCATGCATATAGACGATATAGTGCAATGTACGTAGCATAATGTTTTAATGCATCTCTGTTCTCTCCTTAGGCAAAGCGAAAGGAAGCTTGGCTGATTGAGAAGTTGAGAAAATTTGAGTTACCTAAGGCTCCAGCTGAAACACATGATCCTGAAAGTTTAACAGAGGAAGAGAAATTTTATTTGAAACGCACTGGTGAGAAAAAGAAAAATTATGTTCCTGTTGGAAGACGAGGAGTCTTTGGGGGAGTTGTGCTTAATATGCATTTGCATTGGAAAAAGCATGAAACAGTTAAGGTTGTTTGCAAACCTTGTAAGCCTGGGCAGGTTCATGAAATTGCGGAAGAGCTTGTTCGGCTGAGCAGAGGTATTGTCATTGACATAAAGCCTGACAACACTATAATATTTTACCGGGGAAAAAATTATGTGCAGCCAGATGTTATGTCTCCTCCTGATACACTGTCAAAGGCAAAGGTAATTTTACATTCTACTGGATTTTGGTGTGGTAATTTCCCTTGTTTATAAATAGATGTTGCTACAGTATCTATTCTACCATACCTTTAATGCAATTTTTTTTAGGCTTTGGAGAAGTATCAGTATGAACAGTCCCTTGAGCATACAAGTCAATTCATTGAAAAGTTGGAGAAGGAGCTGGAAGAGTATCATGAACACCTTGCTCAGTACAATAGAGGGAAAAATAATGCATCAAAAGATTCTACTACACTTGATTGATGGTAAGTTTTTAATTTATATGCAATGATAGTAGACTGATAGTCTGACACTGTTTTCGATGGTTGCTAGAAGAGTATTAACTAGAGATTATTTTTGCAACTTTACTACTGTGAAAAAAGCTAAATGTCCTGCAAAGTATTATACTTGAGAGACATAGATGATGTTTGAGAAAGGGAAGCAACTGTGATAGGAGACTGGATTATTTCATATTTGGCTACTTAAAAGGCAGGTTGGGTTGCTAAAACTTTAATTCCTTGTTAAAGGTATTGGCTCATAGAATTTGCTTGATCCTGGGATCTCCCCCAACCAGTCTTTTAAGTGCAGACCTTAAAATAGTCTCATGTACAGTCGTTTGGACCCAACGGACTGGAATTTGTTTGATGATATAGTCTGGAATGCTGAATTACTCCTAATTAGTTTCTGGTGTACAATTAGCCAGTAAGACTGGAAGTTGTGATAAGACTGGAACATTGTAGCCTGAAACTATTAGCCTTTAGCAATTAGTAATTATATGCTCTCCAACAGGTCTTTGTAGGTCCTCTTTTAGTGTTATAATATGTAGTTATGTTTATATTTCTGAATGACTTTGGCTGGGCCTACAATTGACTGTGATGTTAAAAATGATACTTATTAGTTGAAGAACCTAAACATTGCTTAATAGCAGTTGGGTGACTCATATTTGGCTTATGCAAAAATTTAGGAAGTATCTTCGACTCTGCAAACACATATTGATTTTTTGGCGTAGCATTATGTGCCTTCTATCTTGTTTACGTCTTTGTGCGCTGAACGCCTCCAAAATGCTGAAAGACTTGAATTTCCAGCTTATGCTACAAAGTTGTTGAAGGATTTGATTGTTTCATCTCTCACCTTTTCTGGTAATGAAACTTATGAGTTGAAAACCCCTGTTTAATGCATGCTTTGATATCGCAGTGCCTTTACCAATTCCCAGGCTGGGGCTGCTACTAGAAGATGTTTTGATGTAGGCAAAATCTGCTCTTGGAGGACCATTATCGATGGATTTGATGGTAAGTGTATCCCCCTTTCCTGTTTTCTTCACTAAAGCCCTTCCCCCCCCCCCCCCCTCCCCCCCAAAAAAAAAAAAAAAAAAAAAAAACAAACAAACAAACAAATAAGTTATTCATTTGAATTTTGCAGCTCCTTGTTAGCAATAGAAGAATTGGCCAAAATGAAGCTTTTTCGAGACCTTTTGGCTCATTTGATACACGGTTGTGGGTTAGGGGGAATCATACTGAGTTAGTGTATTATTTTTGGTAGTAAGTCCCAGGTTGATGTCTTAATTGTGGCATCTCTGCTACCAAACATGTATGAATTGTCATTGATCTTATTTTTTCAACAGATGCTCACACGTCTGGGTGGTAATAAGTGAAAATGGAAATTAGTTCCGGCAACTTGTTAGTGGAGATGCAATGTAATGGGCATTCACTTGGACTTTCCATGTAAAATGTACGAGCACATTTCACGAATAAGTGCTTGCTCAATGGCGTATCAAATGAGCGGTTAGTGTACCGTGGAGGAAGAAATTGATGATTGAGAGTCAAGCATAATGCTGAAAGATGGAGATGCTTCTACAGCCCCATGCCTTAAGAATGGACCTGGCTCATAGAAGAAACTTTTGGTACACGAGATGGAGACTTGTACTGACTGGTTCATGATCCAGGCTGTATCCTAACTCAGAGTAGTCTATTATTCCAGGCCGTATGCAGCTGGACCTGGGCTATTATGTGGAAGTGCATCCAGTGCCTATCTGGCTGTATAACTGGGAGAATTTTTTACTTGATCCGTCATCGTGACTAAATATTGGTCTCTTAATGGTCTGCATGCTTGATTATGCAATTGGAAACAATTCACCCCACTATCTAATATGATGAGGAGCCTTTTGGGTTTCTACACAGACATTGTCCCTGGAGAGCTGAACTGCCGAAGTACTTGGTTATGCTCATGGATGATAATCTAAGTTTCCGCGGATGCTATATGCTTGATTTTTATCCTATTGTGTGGTATAAACTCTAGAGTTTGTCTAGCTTTCTGCCAATGTATAATGCTGTTAGTGGTCCAGTAGTCTATGAAACAATAGTAGGAGTGTAGGACTGCGAATTATATCGAGGAAGGCGGAACTAACTCTTATCTCTTATGCCTAATAAATGTTCCAACGTAACATTCTCTTAATTTTGTAAATTACATATATACTCCCCTCGTTCTTAAATTCTTACAATATTTGACTCATATATTTGTCTGTTTTAAAGGTACTTAAAATGCTTCCTATTTCGTACGGGATCACTATTATAGTACTCCCGTATTGTTTTTGTTCGTCTATGTACTCCTCATGAACTTTCAAAAACAAAAAATAAAATGAACAAGTAATGAAGAATTATCTATCATCAATCAATATCTTATACTAAAGCAATAACCATTCTTTTATTTTTCTAACTGATTTTTTTTAAAAAAGTCACTTATGTGTACAGCATTTACTACGTGCAACCATGGAATATTTTATATAACGGAAACCTCTTAATATTTCCCTCCTCCCGTCTATAATCAAAAGTTTCAAAACCTTAATAAACTTCCTACCCTCGTTCTTCCTCACCATTTTCACCACGTTTCGATTTTCTCTCTCATCTACTACTGCTTCATACGGAGGACAAACGATTCAGCGATATGGAACTCGAAAGCTCGCTCTTCTGCAATGTCATTACGTCTCTCACATTCTCAGGTTCTTCACATTTCACTGATTTTTCTTCAATATTACTCCTCCATTTTTATGCTTCTCAAATTATAATTATGCATGTAATTTTAACTTTACTTTTGTTTTCGCCATAGTTTCGTTCTCTTCAAATTCTCATTAGCGTCGTATTTCTGCTGAATTTCGATTTCTTACTTGAATTTTCTGGAATTTTGGAGGCGATTTTTGGTATATTTCATTGAATTTCGTTGAGTTATTCGTAATTTGGATTCTGTAGCCTACGATTATGCTGGAAAGTCAATTTACTTTCGTTTTTGTAAGTGTAATTTATCTTGCTATTTCATTTTTAATTTCAAAAGATGAATTAGGTTAGCCTTGGTTAATTTTGTAGCAATTGGATGCATCAGTGAACTTTAAGCGAGTATATTTGCTAGAATTTTGTTGCATTTGTTCTTTCTAATTGAATGTGTCGGCTTCGAGTTTGTGACATCATATCACTAAAAATTGAGAGTTACATGTGATGATCAAGTGGTTGATTTTAATATTAATTAAAGTAATGGTTTGGATGTGATGGTTTTAGACGCTGATTAGTATAAAATGTTTCGTAAAATTAGTTGATTAAATTGCGGAAACTATGGAGAGATGCGAGTATTTGAGAGCTGAAAACATTAGATAACCAGTTTTGGACAATGATGGTATCTTAATTAAAAAGAATTTAGATAGTTGAAACTTATTCTTGTTAGAGGGATTAATTTTATTTTTGAAAATCATTTTAACTCAAATTCTGCTGTATTTTCTTTTTCAGACCTTACTAAATACCTTTCATGCTACTAGTTGAAAACAACAAAGGATGAGCATCGCCAGCATTTCCAGCATTTGATCTGAACTCTAATTGTTGTCTTAAACTTTTGTAAGTTTTATTTTCAAGTAATATGCTAGGAAAGTGCAATCAATTTCAAAATATTGCTGATGATTACTTTGGTATATAGGATGTGTAGATCATTTTTATATGTTTTCGTTTTTTAATAGATTTTTAGCTTACTTGAAAAATGCAGTTTCAACTTTGGTATAGTTTTGAAAGGATTACCAGTATTGTGTTTGGGATGAGGTTATTAATATGTGTAGTTCTCCATGTCCTCAAAAAAAATCTTTATGAACCTCTGAAGCTTATTTTAGGTGTTGGTCACTTGATCTTTGCCGCTTTGCTTGCCTAGTATATTATCGTCAGTTTCAGGTTAAAATATTTGATGATTCAGGTTATTTACTTTGGGAGAGCTAACCTTGGTTATGGTTTTAGAAACTATTATATTTCCATGTAAACCTATTAGGGAGAGCTGACTACTTGAAGGATGAATGGTCCAACTACACATAGAAGCTAAGCTATCCCAAGGGAGTTTCTGCGGACTATGGTTGTCTCTATATACTTTGCTCTTTCTTTGGAGTGATATATCTTGTAGGCATCATCTTGGGCATTTTTTTTTGAGAAGGTTTTTAGGAATTTGGGTGGGAAAGGATTTTTCCCCAATTCTCCAGAGGTGGGGTGTTAATGACATTCATCAAACTTGCTAATCTTCGCCACTTTTCCCCCTTTTCAACCGGCTATGGCTGATGTCTTTGAGATGATTATTAATATTATATATGGTCTAAGGCAAATGAAGATGGTAGGAGGTATCACCTTGTGATATGGGAGTGAATTTGTAATTTTGAAAAAAGGAGGTTCTAGTTTTGGACCTTTTGGTTGTGTGGAATCTAAAACCTTTTCTCTAGTTGAAAGATGGTTGTGAAGTTTTTCACAAAAGATCCCAGTTATCCTAGCCTCCTAGGCATAGGGTTCATTGGAATTGGTACTATGTAATTAATGGACTGAATAATCACTGGTAATGGAGTATTGGGGTGAATTTTTCTCTTAGTCAAATTTCAAGGTGGAATGAAGGGGTGCATTACTTAGGGAGGGATTTTGAGCGAAAGATCAAATTTGAGTGTATATATCAATACGTCTACTGGTTTCTACTGTTAACCATTCTCCTATATTATCTTTTTATGTTAGAAGTAGTGGCACTTCTGGGATTTTTCGGTTTAGGCCGATCTTTTATGAGTGGGAGTTGGAAAGGAGCTTACAAACTTGATAGCTAATTCTTCAGGTTACTTACTTCTGCTCCTTTTATAGCCAATTCCTAACTCACAACCTTTTTCTTTTTCCACCTTTATGAGAAAAATTACGCCTTACAGCTCCAAAGCATGTTAGGGTAGGCTGTGTAGAAAATTACGCAAGTTTGAAGAAAATTACTCGTTAGAATTTTCTGGCTTGTAGGCTGTGTCACTATGTGTTATCTCCTTATGTGTGTCTTGTGCTATGCTAATGGAGAGGCCCTAGCCTCAGAGTCTCAGACATAGGCTATTTAGTGAGGGGAGAGGAGGTTAGCTGGGTTGTCTCTGTTACTGTTTTTAGTCATAATCAGGCGCAGCATAAAAAATTTAAGCAACATATGGGGGCATCAATTTCCTGCATACAGTTATTGATTTAATTTTTGGTGCTTTGATGGGAGAAGAATGATAAGGTAACTCTTGTTTGGAATTTTAAATTTTTTAAACCAAATTATTTTCTTGAATCTGGTGGACTTTTAAGCCCTCTCTTTAAGGTATATGATTCTATTGTAATAGTTTGTTTGTTTTTTTTTATTTTATTTTATTTTTATTTTTTTAAAATAATCTGCTCAAGTTTTGTAGAGTAATTCTAATTTCTAAGTAACGATAAACTTCTGTATGATTTTAAAAAGTCCTCCTATAATGAAGCAAAGTCATGCATGATAAGATAGATTTTTATGTCCATATTCGGATATTCATGCTATTGCTTGTTCTTTAACCCTTTAGTTTCTTCACCCGACAGCAATTGCAAGGTGAATTGTTCTTTGAATGCATTGGAGGTCTTTCATATTTAGATTAAGATTTTGAAGATGGAGTCTGGCCTGTCTGGGTCAAATGTTTATAAGACTAGTTGGTGGCCCAAGAGTCCAAGACAACACTTGGCCCAATTAAGGCCATTATGTATGTTCATAACATAAAAAGGGGGGGGGGGGAAAGTTCAGGCTGAAATCCTTAGAAAAAGACACTTCCTGAGTTTCTGGTCCAATGACATTAAAGTCATCCTCTAACAAAATAAATACAGTCCTACAATGATTAGGCATTACTTATTCCTTTCTGAGATTAATCACCTGCCATTGGCTTAATGTTATCTATTACCTCCTGGCCCTTGTAAACTGAGGCCGGGATAAAGTGATTACAAAAGGCTAATTCTCATAGTCTTGCACAAGAAGGAATCTCTCCTCCTAGTATAGCTCAGCATGTCTTAATTCTTTAGGGCCAAAAGTGTTCAACAAGCTCATACTGTATTTTTTAATGTAACTTGCAACTATGGCTATGATGTCATTTCTTTTGAACCTGATGGTTATGAACTTATGATCATTAAGGTGTACATGTTATTGTGGAAAAAGGACATTTTAACTTCCTTGTTCTGACTGTATAAAATAATTGGTTGATAGGTACTTGAAGTTGCACATTTTAGAAAACTCTTAGCTTATTTCATTTTACAAGCAGGGTTTGAGTATCATATGAAGCTAGTACCAGGCTTATAATCTTTTTTATTTGATGTAAAATTGGCTGCATGGTTGACTAATAAATGGATGCTTATACATTATGCTTTATTTTGTGGAGTTGCAGACTTTTAGGGAGGGCTAATTAACATGATTGTCCTTTGCCCATAGTCTAGTATTCTAAGTAAATTCTGGATGCTTGTAGCAATAGATTTCAACTTGAATCAGCTTGATGCTTTATCATTTGCACTTTGAGCGATGAGGGTGCTAATCTGTGCATATAGATATCTGTACGTACTAATTTTCCTTTTTTCTGTCTATTTGATAGTCAGAGGGGTGGTTAACAGAATGTTAAGAGGTAGGTAATGTTAAGAGGGTGTGAGCAGAATGAGGAGAGCTGTAGAGGGGTGAAGGCACGTTGCTCGCTGAATGAAAGCAGAAGAATCTATGTAGTTAGTAAAATACCTTTTCTTGCTCCTATATACCAGTATAAGTTTTGCTCGAGATCTTAGAAGATTGATACTAGTACATAGATTTCTTGTTTGCCTGTAGGATTGCTATATTTTTTTATCCCTGATAATAGGATAGTAACGGAATTGATTGTACATCTAGTAAAGAATCTGATGACATTGTTTATTGAGGTCGATTAGAAGTTGGATTTCAAGTGCTGTGCACAGACAACCTTGATGTTGGGAGATTGCCCTTGTAGAAGCCAAATTTGTTAAAGTTGGGGGGTTAAATTTAGGGCTTTAGTGCAATGTAAAAAATGATCATGGAAAGGAGCAAAATTTCTATGTAGCATTTTTAATTGCTTTTTGTGTAACAAAAGATAAGGGAGAATAGGCTTATCTTTTTGGTCTACTTGGCCATAGGCATGTTATTTGACTGAAATGATT